TTTTTCTTCAGTATCCCGGAAATAAAATCCACTCTCTCGGTATTCCTATTACATATCCTCGCTCAAACTCAGTAAACTGCTGATATTGCCTTCTTCGTCTCCCTAAAAGCATTCTCGACTCAAATCTTGCTCACAACGCCCAATCCGGATGTTGTGAAACTGATTAGCTGTATCTAACAAATATTAAAAACAAATCTCTTCATTTTGATGTACGAGACACAGATGGCGTTGGCTGTCATTGAAGTAGGAAGAAAAAAAGGGTTTTTCCCTTTCGATCTCGTGACGTGAACTGATGAAGTGTGTAATAACTTTCGGGGCCAGAAAAATTTCCCGACAATTGTTAAAAAATGTATATATTTTGTAGTATAGAGAGAATATAATTAAATAAATCAACATATTAGAGTTTTTATTACAGATTCAACATCACACTACCCAGGTAAGTGAGCAAGTTTTGTCTTTAGTTTTTCTGGATTGCTCGGTATCTGGGATGAGTGAAGGAAGTATTTTTATTTTAATGATATTTAATGATAAGACTATGTTTTAGTAATAACAAAAAGTGGCGTCCCGTGACAGGACTCTAAGAAATAAACTTTAAAAAAAATTATTTTAATGGTTATAGATAGTTTTTGATGTATTAAAGTATAATTAAGTTTAAATTCGAAACTATTTTTTGTAAAGCAGTTTGTTTTATTTTGAAAGTTAACTATGGAAGCTTTAAAGGCTCTGAAACTTAAACGGGCAGGTTTACGCACTTCTTTTGCAAAAACTGCTAATATTTTAAAAACGGAATTAGTAAAAGAAGATTTTTCTGTAGATTTAGTACGAGATAAACTTACTAAACTACAAAATGTATATTCAGATATAAAAAATGTAGATGATAAAATTCTTGATTTGTTAGCTGAAGACGGGAAAACTTTAGAGGATGATGTTACTAAAGAAATCGAAAGTCGCGAGGTGTATTCTGATGATTTCATAACACTAACTCGGCAAATTAATGAAAAATTGCAATTTTCAGATGAAATCAATTTAGAAACAAGACCAAATGATGGTGCTGGTATTTGTTGTAGTAAGATTAAACAGTATAGACTTCCGAAAATCGAACTTAAGAAGTTTGATGGGGAATTGATAAATTGGTTACCGTTTTGGTCGCAGTTTGAGAAAATTCACACTGACCCTGATTTATATGAAAGTGACAAATTTTCCTATTTGATTCAGTGTATGAAGCCCGGATCACGTGCTAAAGAATTCATTGAAAGCTATCCGGTGACTTCGGAAAATTATGATAAAGCTGTTTTAGCTTTGAAGGAACGTTTTGGGAAACCTGAATTATTAGTAGAAGTGTATGTTAGGGAACTAATTAAATTAATTGTTTCTAATGTGAAGGCAGATCAAAAGGATAAATTACCTCTTGATAAACTGTATGATAAAATTGAAGCTCAGTTGAGAGCCTTAGAGTCTTTAGGTCTTAAATCGAGCGAAAACACATCGTGGTTATTTCCGATGGTGGAATCGTGTCTCACAGAGGATGTTTTAAAGGCGTGGCAAAGGAGTTCGCTCTTTAACCAGCCTGAAGGAACTGATCTTTCTCGCCTTACCAACTTAATGAAATTTTTAAAGTCTGAAGTGGAGGGTGAGGAGAGATTAAAATTGGCGCGTAATGGACTCGATGGTGTTAGTCGTAAAGAAGGATATCATGATAAAGCAAAGAGGGAAACAAAAGGTAAATTTAAATTTAAATTTAAGAAACAGGGAAATGTTCCCACTGCCACAGGTTTTCTTACAACCAGAGAACATGCATGTATTTTTTGTGGTAAAATGCATGATAGTAAAAATTGTTACGATGCGCGTTCATTATCTCTTAATGAAAGGATTTCTAAAGTTAAGGAGAAAAAATGCTGTTTAAAATGCTTGGAACCAAATCATATGGCAAAGTTCTGTAAACAGTTTGTTAGGTGTTTTGCTTGTGGTAAATCACACTCAGTTATTTGTGTCCGGACATTAATAATGAAACTGAACTTCCTACAGAAAAATCAGAAATAGACAACATACATACGGCTACAGCCAGGCAAACTTGTACCGCTGACGTAGCTTTAATGACTTTACGCGTAAGAGTAGCTGGTGTCAAAAAGCATAAAGATGTTAGAGTACTCTTAGATTGTGGTTCCCAGAAATCGTATATTTTGAAATCATTAGCCACTGAATTGGGGTTACCAATTATTTCCAAAGAAAATGTTGCTCTTACTTTATTTGGAGGTGCCAGAACAGAGGCAAAGATGCATAACAAATATTTGGTAAAATTATGTTCAGCCAGTCCGCGTAAGTATTCAGATCTAGAATTTGAATTTTTAGATCAAGACATAATATGTGGGGATATACCTCGGGTACCCAAGGGTCCAATATTAAAAGAATTAAAACGAAACAACATTTGGTTGTCGGATCTGGGAGCAGATTGTCCAAAAATAGAAATGCTCATCGGTAGTGATATTTATGGAAAAATTCTCACGGGATCAGTAAAACAATTAAAAGGAGGACTAACAGCAGTTTGTACAAAACTTGGTTGGACAGTTTTGTGTGTATCGGAGGAATTTGTTAATCACAAAGATAAAGATGCTTCCATTTTGTGTGCAAGTTTAGTGGGTCACGACTTTAAAATCTCCGATCTTTGGAGTTTAGAAACGATCGGAATATTAGATGCTCACCAGAATTCAACTAACGCTGCTGAGGAAGAAATTGCCCACGAACAATTTTTAAACTCTCTTTCCAGAAACGAAGATGGTCGTTATTGTGTCGGATTACCTTGGTTAGTATATAACGCAGAATTGCCATCAAATCGTCATGTAGCAGAAAAAAGATTGTTCAGTGTCACCCGAAAACTCAAGTCTTTACATAAATATGAAGAATATGATAGAATTTTTAATGAATGGATGGAGGAGGGTGTAATTGAAATAGTACCAGACAATGAACTGAATTATAAAGGGCACTACTTACCGCATCACCCAGTATTTAAACCAGACAGTGTCTCAACTAAGATAAGACCTGTTTTTGACGCATCATGTAAAGTTAATAGATCGCCCTCCCTTAATGATTACTTAGTAAAAGGACCAAATTTAATAGAAGAAATCCCTTCAATTTTGTTAAGATTTAGAGAAAAATGCATTGGCGTAACCTCTGATATCCGGCGTGCATTTTTACAGATTGAATTACGGAAAGAAGATAGGGACTTTTTAAGATTTTTATGGTTTTTATGGTGGGAGAAAGATAATGTACTGAAGGTTTTCCGCCATACGAGGGTAGTTTTTGGAGTAAAGTCTAGCCCTTTTCTATTAGGAGCGGTTATTTCAGTTCATTTGGCACAAGTACCAAAGGAACAAAGTTCTATTGCTCAGAAATTAAATAAATCCTTTTATATTGATAATTGTGTGACTTCTGTTGATAACGAAAAGGAGCTTGTGAATTTTGTGAAATCTTCTACTGAAATATTAGCTGAAGCAAAAATGGACTTACGTATGTGGACCTATGGCCCAGTAGAAAAAGATGTGGAACTAACCCAAAGTACTTTGTGCACTGAGTCCACAATGGAGAATTCTGTACCAGTTTTAGGAATTATGTGGGACAGAATAGAAGATAACCTTTATATTGAAATTAAGACTGTATTGGTTTCGGATAATTTGTCTAAAAGAGAGGTTTTGTCAGTAACGCAGACAATGTTTGATCCTTTGGGTTTCTTGACACCTGTTTTATTGCCTGCAAAGTTACTGCTACAGGAAATTTGGGCGATAAAAGCAGACTGGGATACTCCATTACCAGATAGTATCAAAAGTAAATTTTCGAGGTGGTATAATAAATTACAAATTTTGAATAAGTTGAGAATACCGCGACGTATAGGTTTTGGAGATAGAAGTTCCTGGACACTTCATGTATTTTGTGATGCTAGCCAGCATGCTTATGCCACGGTAATATTTTTGAGATGCGAAACTAAAGAAGAAACATTAGTCAGTTTTGTAATGGCTAAGTCAAGAGTCGCACCCTTAAAAGAACTTACTATTCCCCGTCTAGAACTTATGGCCTGTCTTTTGGGCGTGCGTCTTTCCAAATATGTGACAGAAGCTCTTACATTGGATGACATCCCGAAATATTTTTGGACCGATTCCACCACGGCCATATCTTGGATTCAAAGAAATGATGCGTGGGGGACTTTTGTGGGCAATCGCGTGAAGGAAATTTGCGCTTTCACTAAAGCAAATCAGTGGTCATATGTACAGGGTCATTCTAACCCAGCTGATTTACCTTCTCGTGGTTGTTCCCCTCTTCAGTTTTTCGAATTAAATTGGTGGAGAGGGCCTGTTTGGCTCAAAGACCCTAGAGATAGCTGGCCAAAATTAGAGGTTAAGCCAAATGAAACTTTAGTTTTTTCAGAGCGCAGGAAAGGCATAAATTTAAATGTAAATCTTAGTATAACTACAAAAGCGGATAAAGTTAAGTGGTGTGAGAAGTTCTCTAAATTTTCAAAAATGTTAAGAGTTTTAGGTTGGATAAAGAGATTTATCAAAAATTGTCAAAAGAAAATTGTAAATAAAGAGCCTTTTCTGTCTGCTTCCGAGATAAAGGAATCTAAAATTATACTTCTTTCACTTGTTCAGGGGGAGAGTTTTCCAGAGACTGGAGACTCCATCAATGGTCTTTTGACCGTACGAGATCAGAGTGGCTTAAGAAGAGTAAAAACAAAAAAATCACCGAACGAGATGATTCTTATGCATTCCGGTACCCGATTTTATTACCTTCTAAGCATTATATTGTTGACTGTTTAATTAGAGATTACCATTTAAAGCATTCTCATGCCGGCGTACAAGCATTAACTGTTATAATTAGAGAAGAATTCTGGATCATTGGTGCAAGACGCCGAATTAGATCGGTGGTGAAACAGTGCGTCCGTTGTAAACGATTTTCAGCAAAACCTCCAACTACTGCACCCATTCAATTACCATTAGACAGAGTTCGAGATGCGTTTCGCATTTGAAGTTACCGGCATAGATTTATGTGGCCCTCTGATTCTCAAAAATAAAAACAAAACCTGGGTAGTACTGTTTACGTGTGCTGTATATAGATGTGTACATTTGGAACTAGTGACATCCGTAAGTACCGAATGCTTCATTCAAGCGTTTCGTCGGTTCATAGCCAGAAGAGGTCGGCCATCTACAGTTTATTCAGACAACGGCACAAATTTCGTCGGTACATCTGCATTGCTGAAAAAGGTTGACTGGGTAAAGGTAATTGCTCAGGAAACTTTGCATCCCATCACTTGGAAGTTCATTCCGCCCACTGCTGCTTGGTGGGGCGGATGGTGGGAGCGTCTAATCCGCACAGCCAAGAATTTGATTGTGAGAGTCTTAGGACAAGCTGCAGTCAATTACGAAGAGTTACTCACCGTCATCTGTGATGTGGAAGCCGTAATAAACTGTCGACCACTAACTTATGTGTCAAATGACTCTGAGGATCTTCTACCATTAACGCCTTCCATGTTCTTACAGGACATTAAGGTTTCAGGTACAGCAGATTTGGATGCTTTAGATCGAAATAAACTCTTGGCTCGTCAGCGTTTCTGCCAGGAACTTCGAGAACAATTTCGTAGCCGTTTCCGCAAGGAGTACCTTGGACAGTTAGTACAAAAGCATGGACAGACGGACTGTGAATTAAAAGTTGGAGACATCGTGCTAATAGGTTGTGAGAACCTTAAAAGAGTGAACTGGCCAATTGCTCGTGTCCAAGAACTTTGTACAAGCAGAGATGGACGTGTAAGAGTTGTAAAAGTGAAAACTAGAAATGGCATACTGATTCGTCCTGTACGTAAACTGTACCCTCTAGAAGTGTGTTCCTGTACTAAGGATACCATTATTTGATTTTTGATTTTCCTTCTGAAAATCAAAAAGGTGGGAGTGTTGTGAAACTGATTAGCTGTATCTAACAAATATTAAAAACAAATCTCTTCATTTTGACGTACGAGACACAGATGGCGTTGGCTGTCATTGAAGTAGGAAGAAAAAAAGGGTTTTTCCCTTTCGATCTCGTGACGTGAACTGATGAAGTGTGTAATAACTTTCGGGGCCAGAAAAATTTCCAGACAATTGTTAAAAAATGTATATATTTTGTAGTATAGAGAGAATATAATTAAATCAACATATTAGAGTTTTTATTACAGATTCAACATCACACTACCCAGGTAAGTGAGCAAGTTTTGTCTTTAGTTTTTCTGGATTGCTCGGTATCTGGGATGAGTGAAGGAAGTATTTTTATTTTAATGATATTTAATGATAAGACTATGTTTTAGTAATAACACCGGAAAAGCAAATGTGATTTGCGTGTGTATAATGGCACTACTTGTGGCACACATATTTGTCTAGCGAGAAATTTCAACAGATGTCATGTTTCAGATGTACAGACAGGCCTTCCACATTTCGTTTATCTAGCACAACTCCTTCTTGATGTTGGGATTTCTTTTTCTATCGGCGTATCTAGTTAGACAGATAGGAACAGAGACATAAACGCGTTCTGTCTAGCGTGTAAAAGAAGTGGTTTCTGGATACACTGTCATTATTTTCTTACATTCATTCGTTTTAATCTTGTGTTTGTATTTTGTATTTTTTCATGTACTTTGTTTGTATATGATCCCTAGCTACAGCATGGCTTTGCTTCTCAGTTGGTGAAATTTATGTTCTATGTTAATAATTCATAGCGGCTTTCGAGTTCTTTCAAACCATATAAAACGCTCTGGTCTTATGTCTTACCCTCTTTTTACTTAAGGTTAACTTAGAAGGATCCTCACTCCAAACGTAATTGCATCATGTGTCTTCCCTGGCCTTGTTTTAACTGAGCAGGACATGCGGTGCTTGCAGCGATATCGAGGCTAAATCGTCAGGTTCATGTTCCATGCACCGTCACTAGCGCCCTGGACTGGATTAGTAAAGGAATGTGGAGAAGTTGAATACCTTCTGTCTTTGTATTGAGTAAAACGGCTTGTATGAAGTGATGGAAAGCTATTCCAGCGCCTAACCCTTCAACTTGCAATCATATGCATTCTATTACGAAAACTATTTGTTTCAGTGTGTTCTATTACTTTTTCAGCTTTTTTCATTATCTTTGAAACATCCTATATATGAAGTTGGGTGCATCAACATTTATGCTAATTTCGCAGCTCTGCTATCAATAATAATAATAATAATAATCTTCTCAAATCTAATGCTTGCGCATCAGTCTCAGGTTTTTTCCTTTTAACATAAGTAAAGGTAATATGATGCCTTCACTTTCCTATATGACTTTCTGAAACTTAATAAATACACTAAAATAAGCCCATGCAACATAACATGATTAGATTATACATGTAATGAAAATAAAAACTTCAGAAATCTATTTTGTAGTAAATATTCGCATTTAAAGTAATTTTCTCTAAATGCATTTAATTTTGTTTTGCGGAAATGCAGTATATATTTTCTTTTTATTTTTTAAATCTTATAATAATTCTAAAAATATTATCAGTCTAAATATTGTATGATCTAAATGAATGAATAACAAATAAAATTCTAGAGATAGTTCCCCCCCCCCCGCAAAAATTTTTAAAAAATCAGCTATTCCTTCCCCGGCATTCGAACCGCGAACCTTCTTCCGATTTCTAATTAAACTTGCTGCCACTTGCAGTACGAGAGCATGCATGGAGAGAGTGATAATTCCTTATATTCCCCCCCCGACTTAAAAACTGCCTTAGGAGAAAGGAACGAGACCCAGTCTGCCAAATTCAGATGGTGACGAATCGTTGTCCACTACAATATGGCCAAGAGCTACTGTAGTGATAATAAATTCAGAATATAACCGTGAAAAATAAGCTATGCTGTCACCAGAATTCGAACCACGGATATTCTGACTGCTAGACGAACATGCTACCAATTACACCGCAAAAAACACCCAAAAAAGAAGGCGAGAATTTTTTATATAGTTAAGTGTTTCGTAAAGCCTATTTTAATTAATTTCATTGCTTAGAAATTATTTTAAATTTCCAGACATCTTTGTATGATCCTGATGTAGGTCTTGGACTTACGTTCCAATGTTTAGATATCCCAGGTTGGTGTTCAGATATCAAGTCTTACTGCCCTTTTTTTCATAAATTCATCAAAAACTAATTCTAACCAATTTTGATATCATATTATGTCTCTTCGATACCTATATGTAATTACTTTTTTATGATACGAGTAATATGTTAAAAAAAAGCAGATCCGTTTTGACGTGGCAACACAAACAGAATCCAAGATAGGCATTACAGACAGAACTGAGGTATCGAATAATGCGTTTTATTTTTTACATTAATTACATAAATTTTAATTGATTTCAGATTCAATTTATTCATCATCTTCTCAGCAATAATGATAATGATTAAACGCGTCTTTCTAAATTTTAGTTTGGTACATTTATATCATTGACAGATATTATACAATGGGATGGAATGCTCAGTCTTATATGTGAGGAAAAAGTACAATCTATTTCACTTCACAAAGATTTCAATTTTACAGGAAGCTTAAGACAGCATTTTGCTTTCAGGTAACAAGCAGCAATATTGGCAATTACTTGTAATATGACAAACAGCAAAGCAACAAAATCTCCTCGTAATATAACAAACAGCAACGTAACAAAATCTCCATTTACATAACAAATATTCGAATCGTGAGACTTAAACTGGTTGTCATATGTACTGTAACTGCCCTCTGATTTTTCAGCTAATAGCAAACATTTCATACAAAATTGTATAAATAATGCTTTTGGAAAATTTTACTAAATTAAGCTGAAATGCTTGAAAAAGTGTCTATTACTTTTTAAATAAAATATCAACGCTAATGATCAACCGCAAACATATCTCAGCAATTCAGAATATTATTATTTTCCAACCGCATAGAAATTCCCATCGAATTTTGTAATTTAATTCAGTTCTAATTTCTCCACATTCTGAAACTTCTCCAGTTCATTTAACTCTGAAGGTGCGATAACACAGAAAAAAGGGGAGGGGGGAAGAAAGAAGAGGAAGAACTAAAGACGCAGACCTCATCCGCGAATCGAAGCGTTACCGCAGACGTTCATTGAAGGGTAACATTATATTTATTCAAGCTGGCATAAATGAAACAAGAATGTAAAAAGAAAGCATGGATTTCTTCGGAGAGGTAACCTCGGTAGCAGACATGCACTAAGGCAAGCGGCAAATGAGCGTGTTGCACCTGTGGGTTCAAGTTGAACGCACTTTCTTTTCATATATTGCATGAAAGAGTGTAATTAATTCGATGGTCATTCGTTTCGAACTAAATGGAAGAGAAAAACTTTGTAACCTAATTAAGTGGCACGGTCAAGAACACTTCGGCTTTCCAAAATGGAGGGGTGGATATGAGCAAAATGAAAACGAAAAGTACAAGTTCTTAGCCGAGCTCATTTATATTGTAACAGTGTTTATTCAGTTAAAATGACCAGAGAAGCCTAAATCTGGCTATACTTTTGAATAGATTGAGCGAACAAGGGAATTCTTTTGTGTCAACTTAGCTGCAAAAGTTTTTTATTTCATAATATTGCTGTATGAAATAAATCAAAATAAAGATAAGTATGGACAAACTCATAAAAATGGAAAAAAAAAAAAAAAAAAAAAAAAAAAGAGGTGAACTCTAAATCTAAAATGTAAGAACTTAACTATTATGTAAACAGATTCTATGAAGTAAATACTCAAGCTCATTCATACTCATTTTTTTTTTATTATTGATTAGCTTTAAGGAAAAAGGATAAAATAACATGCTCCTCTTAATAATAAAAGCCTTTAATTTCATGCATCTGTCATTTATTGATTTTATAGACATACCTGTATAAAACCATTCAATTGCAATAATCTTCCACAATAAAACAATTACAGTATCTTGTCAGGGCCGTTGAAAACCAAAAGAAAGCCTGTATCTTTCTGCTCCAGATTTCCAACTTCAAAGAAATCTTGCCCGCATTAATCAGTTTGCCGCCATAACATAATAGAAAGAAGTTACATAACAGTGGTTCTCAACTTTTTCTGCCCCATCCACCCCTTTCAGAATACCTAGAAGATCATCCCTCCTCCCTCCTTTCCCAAACTCAAAATATATATGTAATATTTCAGGGAACATAGAAGAGTAATCAGCTTGCAGTCATCGTGGCTGGGAGTGTAAGGCGGTATCCAAATGACGATAGAGAAGTTAGCTGTGTTGGTTCCACATCTTTATTCAATTCAAATGGCAAATCATTAGTCTTTTAGATTCTCCAAGATTACATATGCGATAGAAATTTAAACTAAATAGGAAATTTAAATTTACTACGTTATATTGTTCAAACAAAGGAAGACATATGGGAAGAGCGGCAACAAAGGTCTTATAGCAGTAGAAGGAGAAAGCAGTCTGACTAAAAATGGCGTGAACTCTGCATCTACAGTAGCGGTTACATAACATGTCAGAATGTTCTCGAAAGTACTGGTCTAGGGGGAAGATCCTGAAATTGCGGAAAGTTAATTAGAGGTTGCTGTTCGCGTAGAGCAAAGTCATCGTATTTTTTATATTTTACTTTTTTTCATATTTTACATACATATACATTTATATAATTTAGATTATTTTTAATGTGTTTTAAATTTAAACAAGAACTTCTGAAAATGCCAGAATTTGAATAAAATAGTCATAAACTAAAATTAAATATTTAATAGGTAAATAAAAAGCTATCTGCATTCCCCCTGAAGCTATGAAAGTCGTCCACAGGGGGGGAATTCTCACCTAGTTAGGATCCCTTGCTATATAAGGACTGAAAATGAAAATACGTTCTTGATACGAAAAATATAGCTGAATACTTTTTTTAGTTCAGATATTTC